TGCTTTTATATTTTCGCGTGTTTATTTTAAAGATCATACGCTCGAGAATAGTCCTACTGGTGCTCTAGGGCTTGCAAATGTATCTTTTTTAAAACACAAAAAATAAAAAAAAATAAAAAAAATGCCGTTCTTTATACCAAAGAACGGCATTGAATATTTTGATAATGACATTTCCTCTTCACTGCAGCCACCGCTTACAACCCCTCGATGTTTCTGTTTTTGGACCGTTTAAAGCTCGGTATAGAGCTAGCATTAATTACTGGATGACATATAATCCTGGCAAAACTATCGCAATTTACAATGTTGCTCAAAAATCAATTGCTCAAAAGTTTCTACTCTTTGACTATAGGTATAAAAACAACAGAATAATAGCTTTCTCATCTAAGGCGGCAAGGGAAATTATAAGCAGAGAGAAACATTTTTTCGGTGATGGAACCTTTAAAACATGTCCACGTCCATTTTTACAACTGTATTCATTACACGCTGATGTAAGTGGTTCTCAAGAAGAAACAAAAATAATGCCGGTGGTGTATGCTTTGTTAATAAATAAAAAACATAGTACATATGATTTACTTTTTACTTTATAAAAAAAAGTATCACAAGCTGGATTCCAACGAAATTCACAGTTCATTTCGAAGCCGCAGTTATGTCTTCATTACAAAAGCAATTTCCTGAAGCATATCATTTCAATAGAGCGGTATGGAAGAAAGCTGAAGAACTTAAACTAAGTAAAAACATAATTGCCCGTAAACATGTGGCTTTATTGACAGTATTAGATTATCTAGCTCCGGAAGCTGTAAGCCATGGATTTCTCTATATTATGGAAAATAGTCCGAGTGACGACGAAGCTGTGACTAAATTTAATAATTATTTTATACATAAGTCAGTACCATAGCCAGTGGGAATTTGGTTGGAGAATGAACTTATGAAAGATCAATTGTGTTGTTTTGCTGAAAGGCATCGTACTACAAATAAGTTAGAAGGTTGGCACACCATGTTAAACAGGACGTTAGGAAAATCCTCAAATCTAGTTCAACTTTTAAAAACTTTAGATAAGTCTACGAGGGGTGATCAATAAGCAATGATAATCGAGTATTTCTAGAACGCACAAAAACCCAAATTATTTTTTTTCTGCTTGCTTATATATTCACTACTTCAGCTTCAAAAAAATGTATAAATAGGACACCATTACCGGGAGATACATTCATTTGAATACGAACTGTCGAAGAGAAAACATCAAAATGGAGAAAAATGAAATAAGAGCTGTCATCAAGTACCTCTGCCTGAAAAATATGTCTACCAAAGACATACACAGCGACTTAGAGGAAACATTGGGGGAGTCTGCTCCTCCATATTCCACAGTCACACGCTGGGCAAAGGAATTTAAGCTGGGCAGAACCTCCACTGAAGATGAACATCAAGAGGGACGCCCTTCCACGTCCCTTACTGGAGAAAACGTCAAAAAAGTGGAAGATATCGTGTTGGCCGATCGAAGGGTGACCGTAAGGCATGTAGCTGAGGTCACAGGGATCTCCTATGGCAGCGTTCAAAAAATCATTGTCAACAAAATGCATATGAAAAAGGTCTCTGCGCGTTGGGTACCGAGAATGTTAACCGACGAGCAAAAAAAGAAACGAGTCGACATTTCGAGGGTGAATCTTCAAAAGTTCCAGGCCGATAAAGAATTTTTTTTGTCGCGTTTTGTGACCATGGACGAGACCTGGATCCACCACTTTGATCCCGAAACCAAACAACAATCAATGACTTGGAAACGAGCTTCCTCACCAACGCCGAAGAAATTCAAAGTGTCAAGTTCAGCGGGAAAGGTTATGGCGTCTGTTTTCTGGGATGCAGAAGGAATTATTATGGTGGAATATTTGGAAAAGGGGGCCACTATAACAGGCTCTTACTACGCAGGCCAAATAAGAAGATTGCGAGAAGCTATTAAGTCAAAAAGACGCGGTAAACTGCGCGCTGGAGTGCTGTTTCACCAAGACAACGCCCCGGCTCACAAAGCCGCAGTTGCGATGGCTGCCATTGAAGAAACGGGGTTCGAACTGCTCGAACACCCTCCCTATTCGCCAGATCTAGCTCCCAGTGACTTCTACCTCTTTCCTTGGCTCAAAGAACACCTCCGGGGCAACAAATTTGAGGACAATAGTGAAGTGATGGCCGCAGTAGAGGCATTTTGGGAGGGTCAAGACAAAGAATTTTTTTCTAAGGGAATCATGGGCTTAGAAAAAAGATACACTAAATGTATTAACTTGCAAGGAGACTATGTTGAAAATAAAATACTTTTTTTAATCTAATAGTTCTGTTTCATATTGATTATCATTACTTATTGATCACCCCTCGTATTTACCAGAAAATTGTTATCCAAAAAAAGAATGCAAGAAAACCGAAAATATTGAAATTGACAAAATGGATAAATAATATTGTAAATCGTTTTACAAGTGGTGAAATAACGGTAGGACTTGGTCTCGAGAAATCGAGTCCATTTTAGTTCACTGAGGGTTTTACGGAGTGTCAACTATTTGCCTTTATCAGAGAGAGTCCACAAGTATGAGGTAAATTCTGAACAAAAAGAATTCAGAGAAACTCCCAGATGAACCAGATCTTGGTGCAACAGGAAATGTTGTAGAACGTTTGCTTCGGGGAGTGCGCAGAAGGCGAAACCACATGATATACTTTGATAATTATTATACCTCTTTGCCATTAGTAGTTTTTGTAGCTAAATCAGGAATTCACACAGTGGCAACTGTGCAACAAAACAGGATACCAAATAATAAACTAGCAGAAGAGGAAGATTTCATGAAAAAATCTGTGCCCTGTAGGTAGTTTTGAGGAAAGAGTTTCTATGCATGATGGTATAGATTTGAGTTGCGTAGCTTGGAAAGATAATAAGATAGTAACCCTGTTATCTTCTTATGCTGGAGCATTGCCTGTAACTAAAGTCAATAGATATGACAAGGTAAAAAAAGGAAAAGTTGATATTACTTGCCCGTTTATTGTCCAAGAATATAATAAACACATGGAAGGAGTAGATCTCATAGATAGCTTTTTGGGCAGAAATCATATAACAATAAGGTCTAAAAAGTGGTACTTGCGTTTTTTTTTTTCATCTATTTGATCTTGCTATAATAAACTGTTGGATTGTTTATAAAAAAAATGCTCAAGAAAGGGATTAACCTAAAAAGAGTGCTTAAAATGGGCCAATTCAAGAATGAATTGGCTCATTGTAAGCAGACTGTTTACTGCTGTTGTTAGATTGGCACAACTGTTTTCCATTTTGGCGTGGAGTTTAAGTTGCATCTGTTATTTATATTAAATACAGTGCTGTTTTTAGTTATATCATATCATATCTCTGTATGTTGGTGTTCAGTAAAGTCGATCAAAAGTCAAAGTCATGTTGACTGTTTTCTTTGACTATCGCGGTGTTGTGCACTCGGAATTCTTGCCGGAAGGTCAAACGGTAAATAAAGATATATTATTTGAGCGTTATGCGGCATTCAATAGAGCAAATTCGACGGAAAAGGCCAGATTGGTGGCAAGAAAATTCTTGGATTTTGCACCACGATAATGCGCCTTTGCACAAGGCCATCATTGTAAATGATTTTTTGACCAAACACTCAACAAATACCAGATATAGCTCCAGCCGACTTCTTTCTTTTTCCTAAACTCAAATTACCACTTCGATGCACCCGTTTTCAATCGGTAGAAGACATAAAGGAGAATTCGCGATTCGTTGGCGTAAGTGTATCGTTTCTGAAGGTGATAAAATAAATTTGAATAACAAACATTTTGTGTGTTGATCTTTTCCCGGTACTTTCTTGACAGAGTAGTAATTCATATTTTTTATTTATACTAGGATTTTTTTAAATGTTTTCCCTTTAAGCTAGAGCATTAATTACATCACCCTAATTTATTTCCAAAAATAGAAAAAATCATGCTAAGAGGAGTTAAAGGAGGCCATCAATGAAAAACGTCGAGGATAATTGACCAAGTGTGTGTTGCTCTTGCAAGACAACGCGCCGGTTCACATGAGCAGAGTTGCAATGGCTGCTCTGCATAAGCATGGCTTCGAAACACTGGTCCACCCACCTTACAGTCCAAATCTGGCCCCAAGTGATTTTTATTTGTTAATTTAAAAAAAGACTTAAGGGAAGGAAATTTTCCGACGACAATGAGGTAAAGAAGGCAATTTTAGCTCATTTTGAGGCAAAAGATAAATTTAGAAAAAATAATTCATAGATCAAATTTGTAATAGTATTCAGCTTAAGGGTGATTATATTGAAAAGGAAAAATAGATCCATGTTTAATTTTATTTAAAACCCTTTCATTCCACGAACTTTTGGACCTCCCCTCCTAGGATATGGGAAAGAAATGTGAGCTCTACGTGGTTAACAATCCTGGAAAACGAATAACCCAATACGAGGTTGGAGAACTATTTACAAAGGCCTACAACAAAACTGCTAACGTAAACAAAGCTGCTGGAATTCATCCTATTGATCCTGATAAATTTCAAAACATCTTTGAAAATATAGTATTTGATCAATCAATGACACTAGTCAGACTCAAGAATGCGATGTTTATAAATTTGCAGTTGACCAAAGTTTGAATGAGTCCGTTAACACTGTCAACCAGAGTCAAACACGGTATCGGGTAAAGAGGAATGTCATTTTTTTTTGTTTTTTTTCATATCTTTTAAAAAATGTTGATATTACCGAATTTTTTGTCACTAATAAGTTGATAGATGAGCAAAGTTTATGTTGTAATTAAAGTTGATTATATCTGTGACTTTTTTCTATTACAGTAGGGCCTCGGTAATCCGGACTCTCGCTTGTTCGGTGATCGCTGTAATCCGGCCGAGCAATGACTTTCGCGGGGAAGGCCCGGCGGCGTGTAGGTGCGGGGGCTGTCATGAGCCAATGCGCCGTCAGTCTTTTGTTTATCGCCTTTCGTGTAATACGTAGTTTCAATTAAGTGCGCTCGCTAACATCATGGCGCCGCCACGTAAACATTCGACATTAACAATAAAAGACAAATTACGGATTATAGAAATGTTAGATAAGGGTGACAGCTACCCTGTCATTGCTCGGAAGTTTGGTATAGGCAGGTCAACTGTAGGCGACATAAAGAAAAACAAAGACAAACTCTTGAAGTTTGTTAGCCTAACAGAACGTGGTCCCGGTGTACGAAAAACACTGAAGAAATCGGAAAATCCTGTTTTAGAAGATGCTTTGTTTACGTGGTTTTTGCAACAAAGGCGATTGCATGTTCCTGTAAGTGGTGATAATGATTTGTGAGAAAGCTCGAATTTTTCATCGCCAGATTACAAACTCCAATATCGGATTTAATGCAAGCCGGGGATGGTTAGATAAATTTAAAAAACGCTACGGAATAAGACGTTTAAAAATGGCCGGTGAAAAACTGTCAAATGATGAAGCCGCTATCGGACCATTCCAACTAGAGTTACAGAAAGTTATTAGAGAAAAAAAATTAACAGCGGAACAGGTTTACAATGCTGACGAATCTCGTTTGTACTGGCGATTATTGCCAGATCATACATTAGCCTCTGGCAATGAGCAGTCGGCTTCCGGAAGGAAAATGATGAAGATGAGAGTGACATTCATGCCTTGCGGCTGGAACTCATAAACTTCAATTGCTTGTTGTCGGAAAATCAAAAAACCCACGGGCATTTAAATCAACACGTCTTCCTGTTTGTTATCGTGCACAAAAAAATGCTTGGGTTACGAAAGACTTGTTTCTTGAATGGTTGAAAACGGAATTCGTTTCCGCGGTCCGCCGCCATCTTTTGTCTGTTAATTTGCCTTCTCAGGCACTGTTATTGTTGGATAATTGTCCTGGGCATCCATCAGCAGATGAACTTGTCTCTGAAGACGGCCACATTTTTGCAATGTTCCTGCCACCTAACACCACGGCGTGTATACAACCAATGGTTTAGAACGTTATACAAAATGTGAAGTTAAATTACCGCAAATCACTTTTGGTTAACTGTCTTGCATTATGTTCTGAAAACCTCATGTACTCATTAAAATCGATAACTTTAAAGGACATAGTTTTTCTTTTGGCTGATTGCTGGGCCAATGTTAAGACATCGCTAATTAACAAATGATGGAAGAATTTGCACCCTGAATTTCTCACTGATAATGACGAACCAGAAGATGATGTTCCTTTAGCCCAGCTTTTAACAGGTCGAGGGGACCCAATGATCCTCAAATAAGTGAGGCAGAAGCTCAAGAATGGGCTGCTGGTGGTGCCGAAAGCGAGTTACAAAGATATGAAGTGTTAACTGATGAGGAGATTGTGCGAGCGGCTATGTGTGAGGACGATGAGGAAGATGAGGACAATAGCGTTGAAATTCTAAAAATCACAAAAGTTGGTAATTCAGAGGCAGTAGGAGCTTTAAACACTGCTTAAAATGGGCTGAAGATAACGAATTTGATAGCCACGAAGTTATGTTTCTCCGTCGACTTAGAGACCGGGCTTTCGAAATGAAGTGCGAAAATTATAAACAGAAGAGTATTACAGACTTTTTCAAGAAGAATTAACTAATGTTTTATTTTAACTTACTGATTTCCTCACATAGTTGTAATTTTGAACATGTACATTTTGTCTGTATGCTATAATTTAAAAATTGATTAAAGAAACTAAGGTTAAACATGTGTTTTATTAACATTTAATATGGCATACTCAATATGGTCTTGTTTTTGCCTCTCCGGATTAACGAGGCCTTACTTTATTTTTGATCGTTATAAGTTAAGTATTCCCACTTTCCCCTACGTTTAAAAGTTTTATCGTTTTTTTTTTATTCTTTATGCTTGAGCCATAATTGACTATATCAGTCCCGTAAACGCCTTATGCATAATACAAACAAGCTTAAAAAACTAATTATCTGAATTATTTAACTTATCTATAAATTTATACAGGGTGGCGCAATAGAACGTGCATATTGGATCATCTTTTTTCGCGGGGTAGAAAGTGCGCGGGCGGGGGGAGCCTGCATCGTTGGGTAGGCGGGCTCATGGAGTTTTAGTCACTATGAGTCACTTCGACGGGAAGCGTCGCGCATTTTGCGTGCGCGCATTTTACGAGAACTCTCGTTCATACATCGTTACTAGGCGTTTATATTGTTCTGAATATGGACTACGGCAAATTAGTAAAGCTCCGAGTGCTAATTTAATTAAAATATGGGTACAGCGTTTTGAAGAGACTGGTTCAACGTTTAAACCACAAGCAAAAGGTTGTCCAAGAACATCTAGGACCGACGACAATATTGAGAGAGTTATGCAGTCTGTACGAGGAGATCCACAAATGTCTACTCGTAAGAGATCGTCTGTCTTACACTTATCGCGACGAAGTTTGCAACGAATTTTAAACTTGGATCTTAAACTGCATCCTTACAAGCTGCAGTTAACACAAGAATTGAAAGAGTCTGACTTCGGAGCAAGGCTCGCATTTGCTAATGAAATGCTTAATCGATTTTCCAATTTTGACAATATCCTTTTCTCAGATGAGGCCCACTTCCATATCAATGGGTTCGTAAACCGTCAAAATTGTCGTTACTGGAACAGTGAGAATCCCAAACTCAAGCACCAGAAACCACTGCATAGTCCTAAAGTGACAGTATGGGCAGCAATCTCTGGTAGAGGAATAATTGGACCGTTTTTCTTTGAAAATGCGCGGGGGCAAAACGTCACTGTTAATACCGAACGCTATGTTGCGATGTTGGAAGGTTTTTTGGCTCCAGAGCTTGAAAATTCAAGAATAGTGAATTCTAGGACTTGGTTTCAACAAGACGGAGCTACCTGTCACACATCAAATGACTCCATGGCGGTTGTGAAACAGATGTTCCCTGGCAGACTGATTTCGAAAAGAGGTGATATCCCATGGCCCCCACGTAGTCCAGACGTGACGCCTCCTGACTTTTTTTTGTGGGGATACCTCAAGAACAAAGTCTACAGTAATAATCCGAAAAACAACGATCAGCTCAAGGAGAATATCCGTGGTGAAATGGCAGCAATTACACCAGCATTACTGAAGAAAGTTTTCAATAACTTCCGTTTGCGATTAGAGGAGTGTCGTCGTAGAGAGGGTCATCATTTAGACGATGTTATTTTTAAAAAATAAACTTCAGTTATTTCTTAATAATACCTCAGTTTTATTTTAACTATACCTTTTGTATTTATTTTCTAATCAATATTTTAAATATGCACGTTCTATTGCGCCACCCTGTATAATAAAATAGCTGGGTTTGACATAGGTGCAGATAAAATACTCCGACATCATATACCTTAAAATTAAGTTTTGCTCTTAGGTAGACTCTAAGATCGTTGGTCCGATCGCATTCCACTAGAAAGTGATGAATATCTTCCTATGCCAATGCTATTCTTAAAAAGGTTCAAGTTTTATCGTTGCTGAGCGTTGCTGGTTTGACTACTAAGATAAACGAAGAGGGTGTAAAGATTTCGGAGAGGACAATGAGGTTGGTCGAAGAGAATGAGATGCGACAGCGGCCTTCCAAAACACAACGACTAACCGACAGTATGAAAAAGAAACGACTCCAATGGGCTAGACAACATCGAAATATGACTGTTGCAGACTGGGGTCGAGTGTGTAACTTTTTTGAATAATGCAAATCGTCAATAACAATTTTCTACTATTCATTCTATTAATTACAGGTGTTTTGCCGACGAATCAACCTTTTAAATTTTGGTCGACAAAAGTTCTTTTGTAAGACGACGCACTATGTAAAACGGTACAACAACGGCATATCAAAAATTGTTTTTACCAATATCGTTATTGACGCGCTTTTAAAAGTTTATTGAATAGTATAAAAATGGAACTTTAATATAATGTACTGATTTGGTATTGATTACATTTGGAATAATTTTTTTTAATACCACAAAGTGTAATTCTTAAGAATTTATATTTCAGGTTTGTTCGATACAATACTTTAAAATTTATGTATTTCAAAAATTTGTGGCCATTGTTATAAAGTGTTATACATTTCTAAAAAGCTCATTGTGTATAGATTTTAAAGCCATTATAATATTGTAGGTTTTATTATTATATTTCTATGAAAAAAAACTACAAGTGAGGGAAAAAAGGTCAATTTTTAACTTCATCGGGGCTTTTAACAGTTACCGACACCCGACATTTTACATTTAATGTTGTTTTGTAGCGTAGATATTCATAAATAACAGTTATAAAAATCAGCTTCGGATACGTGCGGTTTACGAAGTTATCACGAAAAGTATGCTACAAGTCAGGAAACAGAAAACCATTATCTATTGTGTTTTCTATTTATTTAATTGATGAGTTTGCGATATATTTCTATTCAATATTAGTTTGTTGATAATAAGGCGTTTTGTCTACGTTTTGCACTCAGGGCCAACTTTAATAAACAAAATGCACACCACCCTCATTTATCAAATAATATATAAAGAGTGGCTTCCTTTAATGTCGCTATCACAAATTCGTAATAAACTAAACATACGTTTGACTGTTTCGTATCTTCGCTGAATTTCAGAATGTCTACTACTTGCAAGAGTTCTAAGCCTGAATTATAACTTTCATACATTGAAGAAGGAAAAAAACTTGGAAGTATCAACAGTTTTAAAAGCAAACTATAACGTTTCTGAAGACTACTCGCTTTAATAGACGATGGGCAGAAGCGTCAAGAAAATAGGATACATTTTTAAAAAGTACAACGATTGCTTGGATTTAGAATATTTGGTAACTTTACCGAACTCTGAAGTAACACCTGATGTTACGCCATCTACTTCTTCTGAAAAACGCGGAAGACCCTGTGTCCTTTCTCGTCAGAATCATCAAAAAAAACCGCTCTACTCAGTGAATATGTCTTTGAACACATTTACAATACCTTTGTTCAGGGATTACAACATTCAATAGGAGAAGGAATATAATAGTATGTGGTCATGATACAAAGTCTGTATATACTGTAACGTTGCATTTTGCACCATTACAGAAAAGTTAATTATCGACGTGTTGTTATTTTGTAGGTTGTTTTGACAGATGAATTTTCTGACGTTTGCGTAAAGCTCCGAGAGATGGCGTCACAGTCGAGATTTTTTAGTCTATTTATTCGACTATTGTAGTGATTCGGTCCATGGAATTATTTACTCTAGGGAAGTATTCATTCGAATGCAGTTTTGCACCACTTGCACTGGCAAGACTTTTTTTTCCTGGGCGAAGCGGAGGAGGGTACACGGATTGGTGATTTTTAAAAAGACAGAAATGTAATCCATTTCCATTTGTTATAATCAGAGGGTTAAAATCACGTTTTATTGTTGGCCAGTTTTGTTAAGAAAAGGAGTTTTTTTTTCAATGGAAATATTATTTTGCCTTTTTGGTATTATTAGTAATGCCTCCGATTTATTTGGGAGACGTTTTGGAACCCTGGGATTTAGTTTGCTTCGGAGAGTGGATTTCTTTTCCTAAGTACCTCTAATGGCAGGAAAAGTCCTCTGACTGTAGCTCATTATTTGGATTCTCTTGGGATGGGAAACCAGGAATGATGGATTACTTACCCCGCCACGACGACAACCACGTGGAGAACAGGAGTGAGCGTTATAGGAATTACTTTTACAATAGTTCCAAACTGACTGTGCCGGCGTAATCAGTATGTCTTTTGTTGTATATGAATTTTTACTGGCGTTTTCATAACGGATACTGTGGGCTCTAAGGGGCGTTATTGTTATTATTATTATGGGAGTAGGTCGTTAGGATAACTACCTTTAATTTCTTTATGTATTAAACAGTCTTTATGTAACTTTTTAAAGATATTTTACCTTTAATTTCTTTATGTATTAAACAGTCTTTATGAGACTTTTAACCTTCAAGCGGGCTCGCGTAATCGAATCGAATCGAATCATATTGTTATTATTACCCACCACATTTATTTCTCATTTCTAGTAGCCTGTCGCTATGTCATTGGGAGTATAATAAAGAATAAACCGTCGCTCGGGGCGCTCCCCCCACTTCACAGATCGCAATTGTTTTAATCCCGGTGTAGTCGTGGTGTAGACTACACGCGCCTGTCGTCGAAAAGGTTACGCGCGACGCTCAACGCGACATACTCTCGATCACGCTCGTAGTAGTTCTTCGGCCATCATTCAATATTATCGGATTAAGCTTGAAATTTTTTATATAAAATGAGTGGTGGACGGTTATCACAAAGTGCAGTACTCGAGGAATTACTAAGAGAAGACGAAGAAGAGAGTGAATCAGAGCTCAGCGACCAAGGCTCTGAAACTTCCGACCTAATCGTTGTAGAGAAACCTCAATCTGCTGAAGAATCAAACTGCTCGGACCCAGAAGAGGATGATTTGCCACTTTCAGAAATAAATAGCTGTTTTACAGGGCGCGATAAAGTAACGAAGTGGCAAAAATCTAATAATAACAGAGTGAGGCGTCAAGTTCAAAATATTCTCACGGAAGATGCGGGTATTCGTAGAAATGGTGTGGGGATGACAACATTTACGCAAGCCTGGAGTTTATTCATTTCAGAGAATATTATGGAAATAGTTGTTAGATATACCAACGAATTTATTAAAAAAAAAACGCCATCGTATAACAGAATACGTGACTGCAAACCGACAGATGAGGTGGAAATTCGAGCACTTTTCGGATTGTTGTACATAGCGGGATCCATGAAGACATTACATGCCAATTCAGAAGATTTATATGCAAGTGATGGGACAGGTATTTTTCCTACTACTATGTCAGTGAAAAGAGTAACATTTCTACTGAATTCATTCATTCATCTAGACAAAGCTGCGCCAATAAGAGAAGTTTTAGATATGTTTACACAAAACTGTCTTTTGCCATATTCAGTGCGAGAGAACATTGTAATCGATGAGATGATGGTTGGCTTTTGAGGAAAATGTCCTTTCCGACAGTACATGAAATCAAAGCCGGACAAATACGGAATCAAACTTTATCCACTAGTAGATGCTGCTACGTTTTACGTCCTAAATATTAAACTTTATGCTGGCAAGCAGCCTGAAGGCCCATATCAGTTGAGTAATGCTGCCGCAGACGTTGTGAAGAGGCTAATTACACCAATTTCTGGCACTGGAAGAAACCTTACCATCGATAATTGGTATACCAGTGTGCCGGTGGTGAACGTTTTGGGCAAGGATTATAAGATTTCTGTTGTGGGTACCATGCGTAAAAACAAGTAAGAAATACCTCCTTGCTTTATAGATAAAAACCGACCTGAATATTCAAGTCAATTAGGATTTTCAGATACAGCCACACTCGTATCTTACGTGCTGAAAAAGAAAAGATTTGTAGTTCTTATATCATCACATCATTATGCTGCAGAAATTGATGAAAGTACAAATGAAAAGCGCAAACCCAGCATCGTTACTTTTTACAATAAAACAAAGGGGGGTGTCGATGAAGTCGATAAAAAAGCAAAAATGTATACGGTTTCAAGGAAGAATAATAGTTGGCCATTGACACTCTTCTTATGTTCTTTCTTTCTTAAATAGTATGGTGATATTGAGGGCAAATAATGGGACTCTACGGAAAAGGCGAATGTATTTACGGGCATTAGGCACTGAATTGACAAAAGAGTACGTCCTAAGAAGATCAACGATGTTAGGCCTTCCAAGAAAACTAAAAATAAACATAAGGGAGCATTTGAATATAGGATAGTGCTGCTGATAACAGAAGCAGGTAGTTCTAGCACATGCAGAGGAACCTGTAAAATATGCCCAGCCAAAAAAAGGAGGCAATCAAAAACGCAATGAAAATATTTGCAGAAGTCATACAACATTTATTTGTAATCAATGTTATATGGACGAAGACACTGATTGTGATAAAAACTAAACCAAAGTTAATTAATTTTTATTCTTATTTTGTAATTTTTATTATAAGACTAGGTATACAAACTAGTCTGAGATATGTAAAAGGGTTTTGTGTTCCTAATTTTTGTTTTGATTCAAAGAATATTTAAGTTTGTTAATTAATTTAATAATTGTTTCTTTTTCATAATTTTAATTACTTTTTTTGACAAATAAGACTACAAACAATAATAATATATCTGAGTACAAATAAATAAATAAATATTGAATATTTAGTGCTTTATTTATCTTATTCATCCCATAGGTCTTTTCGGTTACGCGCGCACGCTCCCGTTACAAATGACCGCGCGTCCGCTCGAAGGTTAAAGATATTTTACCTTTAATTTCTTTATTATGTATTAAACAGTCTTTACGTGACTTTTCAAGTCGAGTCCTTATGGGATGATCGCACCCATTGTATTTTCAAGGTAAACAGATTGCATTAATGATAGAACTAATTTGAGAATAAGAATTACATTTGTAGATCTATAATATTCCATGTACTCTACAGACACTACGGGATAAACAAACTACTGTGATGGTTCATCTGGTTAAAGTCAGTACAAACAAAAACTTCCAGAGGAGTCTGAACTTGTTTCTGATGCTAATTTGTTATTACATCTTTAGTGCCTATCAAATTCATGAATGAGATAACGGGCGATATTGTCTGGCAAGATCCAGTGCGTTATTGTCGGCCTATATTAATGGAATTTTGCAAATAAACTCCTGAAAAAGCTAAACTATTGTGGATGAAATAAAGAACCAAATCATTTCCTTGGGGCCATCGTTGATTAATAAAGAAGGTGAAGGAGTGAACGTGAAGCATGAACTCTTTATGGAAATGGTAGACGGCAAGGTAGCTCAAGTATTAACGGATACACCTTCTGGTTCCACATGTACAATTTGTTGAGCTACTCAACGGCAGAGTATTGATCTGACTAGAGTGAATACGGGCTTTCTACATTTCACGCCTGGATTCGTTGTATGGAAATGATATTATATATTTAATGCAAACTCTCTTTTCAAACTTGGTCAGCCACAAGAAACAACAAAAGCAATTTACATTAAATTAAATTAAAAACTTCAATCCATCTCTCCATTTAACATTTTCTTCTACGGTTGCAATTTACAGTGCAAAAAAATTTACCACCCTAAACGATAAGACCATTTTCTAAAGGAAAGACAAAACACGACACGCAACAATAGAAAAATAGCGGCTGCCACCGTTACTGATACTAACGAAAAGAAAAAATTAGGAGAAAAAGAGACTAATGCAAAAAAACCAAATATTATATAAAATCCTTGATAAAATCAAGTGGCTATTTTCTTTTCCCAAAGTTTAAAGAAAGCTTGGGTGGCGAACACTTCGCTTCAAACGAAAAAATCGAGAAGAACGTCAAATAATGGCCTTTTTCAAGGACGGTTTGTTTAAGCTTGCGAACAGCTGTAGTATTACATAATTTTAGTAGTGATCACACAGATTTTAACAGTCCTATTTTATTTTTATTTCAGTAAAATAATAAGTTAATTAGTTTGTAAATAATTTTTTCATGGCAATTTATGTATGCACATAACTGTTTACTTAGTCAACCGATGTCAATATATATTTTTAAATCTATGCAGGATAGTTTTCAGCAGATCCTATTTTATTTTGTATGTAGATTTATTTTAGATACTCGGCAAAAACTTTGCCAAGACTCCCACACTATATGTATAGCTGCATAAAATTACAGTGCAATTTTTTGACGACCATAATGTTGCGGATGTTTCATGAAGCTTTCTACAAATACGCTAGGAAAATTCAACAAGATGAACTTTTGTTTAAATACTGTACAGCTGTTGTTGAAAGGAAGAGGCCTCTTAATGGCAGCAAAGTATCTAAGGAGTACACGACAAAATATTACATATAGCTGATCGAAAAAAGATACCTGTCAAACAGTGCTTTGAAAAGTACCACAATGTACTCTGTGTAGTAAAAATTTTAAGGTGTCTCAATAACTGGTACGTATGTGGAATAAGGTTTATATTAAACGTGAGACGGCAGAAAATAAACCTCGAAGACGTCGTCCAAGAATAACTAGTTCCTGTGAACTCAGCTTAATAAGGAAATTATCGGTAAGTGATGTACGGAAATCGGCTGGGCAAATAAAAAAATGAACTGCAGGAATTTCATTTGTTTCAACTGTTAAATTCTTCGTGTGGTGACTATTAAGAATACGGAGTGTCACCAGCCCTATCAAAACGTCGGCTAAATGACTTTAGATTACATGGACAACGCCAATCAAGAAATATCTAATTACCGCAAAGAAAAAGCAGCTGTGGCTTGAATTCACATAACACCACAAATCATGGACCATTTCCAATAGAAGAATTACCAGAACTACGGTTTTATTTCAATTTAAATTTATCAATTTGTTTTTTTTTTAATCTCAAAAATAATATTTTTAAAATAGAATTTCTTAAAAAATGAAAATTCTTGATTTGAAAATTCGATGAAACGAAAAAGCGACAATAAAAAGAGACAAACATATTCATAAACAGGAATAAGCCTGCGAGAGAATGAGATAGATTACAAGTATACAGTGTTTTCTGTAATCTTCGTCTCCTCTATGCTATCACGTGTCTTTGCGCCTGCGTACAACGAAGCCTTCAGAAAAAATGTCATAAACAACGTGGTGTATCGTTTAGGTGTTTTATTTTTTTGCATTTGCGTATTAAAATTCGTTGGTTAATTATTTTATGTTAATTATTTAACACGTGTGTTAATTTGACCAATATTTTTTATAAATAAATTATCTATATCATAACATTAGTAAATTATTTGTATTGATTTTACAGACAATAATATGTATATTGTGTATTTGTTATATACATATATTATTTGAAAGTATGAATATTTTTATCTTTTTATTTATTTTATTTTATTTTCTGAAGTGTCACTACTGCCGTGTGTAAATTGCACACACACACACTTTTTCTTGTCTGTTTTGTGACACCGTAAATAATGTTTTTTATGTTTACTACATAATAAGGTTTATATTAAACGTGAGACGGCAGAAAATAAACCTCGAAGACGTCGTCCAAGAATAACTAGTTCCTGTGAACTCCGCTTAATAAGGAAATTATCGGTAAGTGATGTACGGAAATCGGCTGGGCAAATAAAAAAATGAACTGCAGGAATTTCATTTGTTTCAACTGTTAAATTCTTCGTGTGGTGACTATTAAGAATACGGAGTGTCACCAGCTCTATCAAAACGTCGGCTAAATGACTTTAGATTACATGGACAACGCCAACCAAGAAATATCTAATTACTGCAAAGAAAAAGCAGCTGTGGCTTGAATTCACATAACAGCACAAATCATGGACCATTTCCAATAGAAGAATTACCAGAACTACGGTTTTATTTCAATTCAAATTTATCAATTTGTTTTTTTTTTTAATCTCAAAAATAATATTTTTTTGAAGTAGAACTTCTTAAAAATTGAAAATTCTTGATTTGAAAATTCGATGAAACGAAAAAGCGACAGTAAAAAGAGACAAACATATTCATAAACAGGATTAAGCCTGCGAGAGAATGAGATAGATTACAAGTATACAGTGTTTTCTGTAATCTTCGTCTCCTCTATGCTATCACGTGTCTTTGCGCCTGCGTACAACGAAGCCTTCAGAAAATGTGTCATAAACAACGTGGTGTATCATTTAGTTTGTTTTATTTTTTTGCATTTGCGTATTAAAATTCGTTGATTAATTATTTTATGTTAATTATTTAACACGTGTGTTAATTTGACCAATATTTTTTTAAATAAATTATCTATATCATAACATTAGTTAATTATTTGTATTGATTTTAGACACAATAATATGTATATTGTGTATTTGTTATATACATATATTATTTGAAAGTATGAATATTTTTATCTTTTTATTTATTTTATTTTCTGAAGTTTCACTACTGCCGTGTGTAAATTGCACACACACTTTTATGGTCTGTATTGTGACACCGTAAATAATGATTTTTATGTAGTAA